GTCGAGCTTGCATGGACCTGCACCTGTCTGTGGGGCCCGGGGCTGCCGTTTCTGCGGTGGGTAGCCAGTCCCGGGAAGTGCAAAGCCCACCCTTCCCTCCAGTGGGCTGCCTCCCTCCTGGGGGCCCGGAGCCTCTGGGTTTCTTCCCCCGAGGCACAACCACAGCCAGGGACAGCCTCTGAGGCAGAGGCGGCAGGATGGGCAGGCAGAGCGGCCCTCCGTTTCCTTAGCGGCACACGTATATGGTGATGGAGTACTGTGTATGCGGGATGCAGGAGATGCTGGACAGCGTGCCCGAGAAGCGCTTTCCTGTGTGCCAGGCCCACGGGTGAGTGTGGCCGGCCCCCATCGGAGGGGCATTTGAAGCAGAATTGGGGAAGCTTGGTTTGCGGTATGCACGGCCCAGCGGCCTGCGGTCCCAGGGACCTGAGGCCAGCGGCCCTTTCCCCAGGAAGCTCCTCCTGGGTGCAGGTTTGGTGGCAGCAGTCACGGCTTGTGGCTGCAGGACGGGGCAGAGAGGGAGGAGCTTCCACGTTCAGGCAAGACTGGGGTACAGTGGCCTGTGGCCAGGGAGAGGCAGGCCAGCAGGCGGGCTGGGGTCCCTGCCTCGGGGACCACAGATCTGGGCCCGGGGTGGCTCGGCCCTCTGGTTCCGGGGTCTTTCCTGCCATGCTCATTGCCCAGAGCCCAGGCTGCCTGTTCGCAGAGCCTTCGTCTCCGAGAGCACCTTGTGCCCTGGGCATCCCTGACAACAGGCCGGTCTCACAGGTACTTCCGGCAGCTCATCGATGGCCTGGAGTACCTGCACAGCCAGGGCATCGTGCACAAGGACATCAAGCCCGGGAACCTGCTGCTCACCACGGGTGGCACCCTCAAGATCTCCGACCTGGGCGTGGCCGAGGTAGGTGCGGTTTCCCTGGGGTGGCGCTGGCCCCTCTCGAGCGCTCCCTGAGGGCTGCCTGACCCCGGTGCAGGCTCTGCACCCCTTTGCTGCGGATGACACTTGCCGAACCAGCCAGGGCTCCCCAGCATTCCAGCCGCCTGAGATCGCCAATGGCCTGGACACCTTCTCTGGCTTCAAAGTGGACATCTGGTCGGCTGGGGTCACCCTGTAAGTGACCAGACACCTGCCCTGCCCAGCTCCCGTCAGCACACAGTGTTGAGGAGTGCTGGGGGTACGGGTATGGCCCCGAGTCAGGAGGGACAGCCAGTGGGTATCCCCTCCGCCAGCCGCAGGACCTCACAAGGAAGCCCTGGGGGGAGGGTGGTCCAGGCCTCCCATCCCCCGTGGGTCCAGGGACACCTCCCCTCCTCCCCAGCTTTTGGGTCCCCACCGGCGAGAGATGGCGGCGGCTGGGCTGTCTGGGGTCGCAGGGCCCCGGCTCCAGCTGTGCTGTCCCGAGCCCAGCGGGCTGCGAGTGGGCTGGCCCTGACCACACCTCTCCTTCCCTGGGGCGAAGCTACAACATCACGACAGGCCTGTACCCCTTCGAGGGGGACAACATTTACAAGCTGTTTGAGAACATCGGGAAGGGGGCCTACGCCATCCCGGGCGACTGCGGTCCCCCGCTCTGTGACCTGCTGAAGGGTGAGGCCGGGCCGGGGTTGGAGGGCTGCTGCGTCCCGGGGCCCCGGCACTCCCTGCTCTCGGGCCCTGGGTTCCCCTGAGAAGCCCCGGTCGGCCCTGGGGACTCAGACAGCGTCCCTGAAGCCAGCAGGGCCTCGGCTCCTCCCTGCGATTCCCAGGCAGGGCAGCAGGGGCGCTGGCCCCCGCCGGTCCGCACGCCGCCGGAAGAGGGGCTTGGGAGTCCAAGCAGTAGCCCTGTTTCCAGTTGCGGCAGCTGGCATCTCCCTGTGCCATGTCCCGTGCCCAGCCCGTCTCCCAGGAGGGCGTCCCCCGGAGCACGTCCCTGGGAGCCTAGTCCCCAGAGCATGTTTCCCGGAGAGTGTTCCTGGAGCGTGTCCTCTAGAGCCTGTCCCTGGAGAGTGTCCCCTGGAGTGCCCTGCCAGCCCCCGTGGGAGGCTGCCCAGGCATGTGCCGCCTCTCCGGGCACACGGGCTCCACTCACACTGCCCTGGGCGTCCACTCCCTGATGGACAGAGCCTGGCAGATGGTCGCGCCTGGTGGGGGCCTGGGGCCTGTGCCCGGTGCTGACAGCCCTGCTGGCCTCTCCCCAGGGATGCTTGAGTATGAGCCGGCCAAGAGGTTCTCCATACAGCAGATCCGGCAGCATAGGTGAGCGGCCATCGGCAGAGGGAGGCCTGCAGCAGGCAGTGTGCTTCTCTGCGGGTCCCACCAATGCTGGGGCCCCTTGGGGTCACCCCTGCCCCTCAGTCCCCTGGGGACAGCAGGGCTGAGGCCTCAAGGCAGCTGCCAGGTGCACGTTGGGTGGAGTAGATGCTGGTGTGGGTCTGTGTGGACGTCTGGCGGCACCTGTTGCTAGCCTGGAGAGCCTGTCTGAGCCTAGGGCAAGTGAGGGTGTGTGCTGTCCCGGCCCGGGACCTGGGCGACACACCGGGAACTGCACGGGCTTCTGTGCTGGTGGGCTCGCTCTCCTCCAGGCCTCCCAGCAGCCACGCCTACCCAGGATGCAGCCCGGCACCCACCGGCCTGGGCCCAGCTCCAGGATGGGTGGGGGACGGCAGGCAGGGTTCACAGGCCAACAGCATCCCCAGGCATGGCTCTGGCCTGCCGTCCTGGTGACCTGCCTGCCCTGGAAGACGTACCCGAGCCTAGGTGGTCACAGCCACTCCGTGGTGTAGCTTGAGAATGCGGCAGCACCTGTGGTCGGGCAGCTGGACCACCCTTCATACTGTCCTAACGGACACGGCCACTTCTGGGTGTCGGCAGCTGGTTCCGGAAGAAGCACCCACCAGCCGAGGCACCGGTGCCCATTCCGCCGAGCCCGGACACCAAGGACCGGTGGCGCAGCATGACCGTGGTGCCATACCTGGAGGACCTGCATGGCGCCGACGGGGAGGAGGACGAGGACCTCTTCGACATCGGGGATGACATCATCTACACTCAGGACTTCACGGTGCCTGGTGAGTCGAGGGCCGCGGCAGCGGGCAGCGGGCGGCAAGGGTCCTGCCCTCCTGCTCTGCGGACCCGCCTGGATGCCCGCCGGT